CCCCGCCCCTCCTCCCGCTCCTCCTGGCGCTCCTCCTTCCGCACCTCCTCCTCCCGCTCTTCCTGCCGCACCTCCTCCTCCCGCTCCTTCTCCCGCTGCTCCCCCCCCTTCTCCCGCTCCTCCGCCAAACAACGTGACAAAGATCCCTCCATAGCCATCACCTACGAAAAAAAAGAAAAAAAGAAAGGCTTCCCCTCCTTCCCCCACTCCTCCTCCGCCAAACAACCGATGGACCGCCGTTGCATGTTCCTCCTCCCGCTCCTTCTCTCACTTCTCCCGCTCCTCCTCTCGCTCCTCCGCCAAACAACGTGACAAAGATCGTACCTGCCGGACGAGCCCCCCCGATCCTTCTCCCTTGGCTCCCGCTCCTCCCGCTCCTCCTCCGCCAGACAACTCCTGCTCCTCCTCCGCCAGACAACTCCCGCTCCTCCTCCCTCTCCTCCTCCTCCCGCTCCTCCCTCTCCTCCTCCTCCCGCTCCTCCTCCCTCTCCTCCTCCTCCTCCCGCTCCTCCTCCCTCTCCTCCTCCTCCTCCCGCTCCTCCTCCCGGTGCTCCCGCTCCTCCGCCAAACAACCGACGGACCGCCGTTGCACACTCCTGCTCCTCCAGCTGCTCCCGCTCCTCCTCCGCTAAACAACATGATAAACATCCTACCAGGCTTAGGCCCCGCTTCACACCTGCCGATGGACCGTCCTACCTGCCGGATATAGGCCCGCTTTGCACCTGCCGACGGACCACCGTCGCACAAACTTCCCGCTGCCGGCCAGAGCCGAGTTTTGGTTCGGCCTGTGAGACGGGCCCGTCGGTTTCAATCCGCCCGTCGCCACACCGTCGCCGCCGATTTACCTTGCCCCAGTCCCGCTCACCTCAGCACCGAATTTCGCTGGGCCCAGCGGGAAGCGTCACGCTGGGCCCTTTGCCTTCTTTAAGAGTACAAGTGGACCCGCCGCATCTACGCTGCGGCAGCCGAGGGTAAGCGAAGGTGGAGGCGGGGGGGAGGGCGGTCCGTGCTGTCATCCGCTCGTCACCCTCTCTCTTTCTGTCACTCCTCAATTTCGCTCGACCTCCTCTCTCTCTGCCTCTCGTCGATTCTGTTTGCTTCTCTCTCTCTCTCTCTCTCTCTCTCTCTCTCTCTCTCTCTCTCTCTCTCTCTCTCTCTCTCTCTCTCTCTCTCTCCCCCCCCTTTCCCGCCTAGGAACGACGAAACCACAATGATGATAAGGTGACGACAATGATGTTCACGACCATGAAGACGACATCATGATGATGATGATGATGATGATGATGATGATGATGATGGCGACGACGATGATGATGATGATGATGATGGTGACGACGATGATGATGGTGATGATGATGGTGAGCATCATGATGACGATGATGGTGGATGGATGGATGGATGGATGGATGGATGGATGAACGATAATGATGATAATGATGATGATGATGATGATGATGATGATGATGATGATGATGATGATGACGACGATGATGATAGATGAAGGATGGCAATGATGAGGATGACCACGATGAAGGATGGTAATGATGAAGATGAAGATGATGATGACGATGATGATTACGGTCAAAATGGAATCTAGAGGTGCTTGGGCATGATAATCGTTGAAGCATAACGAAGATTAGTCGATGGATACATATGCGCTCTCCACAGACAATCGTGTCCTGTGGGTATGATAACGGTCGATGTGTTTATATGCATTGTGAAAATATTCGAACATTCGAATCGTTAAAAAGGGGAAAAAAAAAAAATAAAATAGCATGGTGTTTACGACGTTGTGATAGCAGGGATGGCACATGCACGGGACATGTGGGAGAGAGAGAAAAGAGGTTCCTCTTTCTCCCGCTCCTTCTCTCACTCCTCCCGCTCCTCCCACTCCCCCTCTCTTACCTTCTCCCCTTCCCCCTTCTCCGGCTCCTCCTGCCGCTGCTTCTCCTGCTCTTCCCCCCTTACTGCTCCTGCTCGTTCTTCCGCTCCTTCTCCCGCTCCTCCTCCCGCTCCTTCTCCCGCTTCTCCTCCTCCTGTACCGCCTTCCACTCCTACTCCCGTCCTCCCGCAACGTGACAAAGATCCTCCTACGGAAAAAAAAAGAAAAAAGGGCCGCCACGTGGCTAGCCACACACACACACACAGAGAGAGAGAGAGAGAGACTGACCTCCCGCTGCAGCTGTGTGTATGTGTGTGTGTGAGAGAGAAAGAGAGAGTCGGTTCCCGTTCACCTCCTCCCAATCAATCGATCAATCAATCAATCGATTGGTTGATTGATTGATTGGTTGGTTGATTGAAAACAAAACCAAAACACGAGAACAGGCCTATACCCACCCGATTTTTCCAAACAGAAAACGAAAAATCACTTAATCAATCAATCAATTTATCAATCGAATTGATTGATTGATTGATTGATTGATTGATTGATTGATGGACTGTGTGTGTGTGTGTGTGTGTGTGTGTGTGTGTGTGTGTGTGTGTGTGTGTGTGTGTGTGTGTGTGTGTGTGT